CCCCTGGGTCAGCCATGCTAGTTTGACAATACATCCCCCTGGCTCTGTGGCTTTGCTGCAGTTGGGGGCAATGTGGGGTGGGGGAGGGAATGAATGATTCCTAGCACTGGGCGCCCAGTTCTGGGTAGGCCTGTTCTGTGAGGAGCAAGCTGTGTTCTCTACTCTTGGGCTTCAGAAGCAGGTCCTCTCACCTCACCTGTGTGTGTGTGCCTGTGAGCCAGTTATAGGGCGGTGTAGGAGACCATTTGCTGGGGAATGGCTAAAGGTTCCTTTCCTCTACTACTACTACTACTACTAATACTACTAATACTACTACTTTTCCTCTAATTAATTTGTTTTAAAATTTAAATTATGAAAGATATAGAAAATAGATACTAGTGTACTTGCTACCCAGTTGGCCACATTTGCTTCCATTCTTACTCAGCTCTTAACACTTACTGCTTTTCTTCCATATGAGTGTTGCTACTAACCCATGTTTGCAGTCATCTCTCTTGTCCATGATTATTATTATTATTTTAAAGATTTATTTATTTATTCATACAGAACTGGGGTACAGGTCAGAGATGCAGAGGGTGAGAGGATTCACCAGAGACAGAGGGGAGCAGAACAGGCAGATCGACTGTTCTGCCTGAGGGGAGCAGCGGGCGGGTCAGGAGAGGTCTGCCGCGCCCTGTGGTCACTTCGGGGCAGGTGGGGATTGAACTCATGTGGAAGTGGCTTATGACGCTTCTTAATGCTGTGCTTTAACCCTCTGTGCCACCAGGGAGGGCCTCCAATGTCCATGATTATTTTTTAACATTTATCTAGCTACATATGTGTGTGTGTGTGTGTGTGTGTTTCTATTTTAGTTATTAACTAACTTGTTTTGGGCAATAATAATTATGTAACTGGTGATATAAATGATATCATAATAATAGTCCTTATTGCAGGTTACTTCTTAAAGATCACTTTATGTTTTCAAGATATGCTATGTTAATGGGTGTTTTCTGTTTTCTGTTGAGAATTAAGTGTCAGAGAGATGACGCTTGAATGTTTTCTCTCAGTTGACCTCCTAAAGTGGAATTCTAGAGTTTTAGGGCTTTTTTTCCCCCACAACGTGAACTGGGTGGTCTGGTCCTACTCCCGCTCTCTGCTTTGACACACAAGTGCTTTTTAGATGGGAATCTGGGTCTCCATCTTTTGTGACTGATCTTTTGTGACTTCTTTCAGATGGCAAGTTTGGTGCCTACATGCAAGTCCACATTCAGAACGATGGGCCTGTGACCATAGAACTGGAGTCCCCGGCTCCTGGTGCTGCTACCTCTGACCCGAAGCAGGTAATCCCAGAGTTACGTGTCGTGTTTGTGCGGGAAACAACGCTTGGCGTGGTTTAGTCTTTGGGGCAATGCTTGTTCTGAGGAGCAGAAAATACTTCATTGGCAGTACCTGGTATTTATTTCAATGCATTCTTTTCCAAGAATGCATCTCTTTAGTGTTGCTGCAGTTTGGGACAGGAGTCACCTTTGCCTTGTCTTGACTTTGAAAAAATGTGCTATGAAGAGTCTCCTGTTCTTCGTTTGGGCTCCTGTTGGCGGGAAAGGTGCCTTTGCTCTCATGTGCCGCTGGGTGGCAGCAGAGTAGCCGCACAGCTCTTTGCAGGCCCTGCACTGGCTGTTGCTTGGAGTGGTGGTTTTTTTTTTTCAGATGTACCACTTTCGGTTCTTAGTAAATCCTTATTTTTTTCTAAAGCAGTGTCTGACTGTGTTTGCTGCCAACTCTATAAACTTTAAGCAAAAATTTTAATTAAGAAAGGGACAGGAGAGGGTGGTGAGGGGAAAAATAGAGAAAGGAAATCAGTGACAGTCTTAGCACATGCACAGTTCTCACTTTTAGATTATAATTAATGCACCCACTTAATCCGCTGAGACACAGGGGAGCAGGTACAGGAGTGGCAACTTAAGGGTCATTACTGTTCTTGCCTCTCTCCCTCACTAGAATGCTGTGCAGTGAATGAGACAATAGACATTGGGAAGCACTCCATAAATTTAAAACTCCATGACCTGTTCAAAGTCAGGATTTTTAAGGGGAACCTAACCTTCCTTTTTGTTACCAATTCTTTGGATTTACAGAGAAGCTGGAACATGTCTGACTCGGTAGTGGTAGACTTTCAAAGATGGTAACTGAGGCTCCTGGAATGATGGATAACATTTTGAAAAAAAAAAAAAAAAATTCAAATGAAAAGTTCTTATGACAAATCTAAGCCTTTTATTTTGAAGTAATTTGAGCCTCAGAAAAGTGAAAAAAAAAAAAAAAAAGAATCAGAATTTCCATGTGTTCCTTAACAGCATCCCTTGCATTTCTTATTTTATATAATCATAGCATAGTGATCAAAACATTGCAACTAATATTGCGAACAATACTGATAACTACACTATAAAAGTTATTCAGATTTCATTAGTTATTTTCCTACTATCCTTTCACCATTTCAGGATCATCTGGGATCCCATTTTGCACCTAATTGTCATTTCCCCTTAATCTCCCAGGCTGTAATAATTCCTCCACGGTTTTCTTGTCTTCATGACTTGGACATTTTTCAGGAGTACTGGTGTGCTGTTCTGTAGAATATTATTCAACTTAGACTTTGTATGATTACACTGAGATTATGCTTTTAACATAAGTAACAAGTAGTCCTTCCTAGTGCATCATGGAAGGAGTTTTGAGCTGTTGACTTGTCTTATTACAGCTGTTGTTAACTCTGCTCAGTTAATGTGGAATCTTCCAGGTTTCTTCACCCTATATGGAGTTCTAGCATCTCGCCTCGTCTGCTTTCTGGCTTTTTCATAGCCGACAACTTTCTTTCTGCTTCACAGAGCAAAAGTCATTGGATGGTGTTGGCTTTCTTTCCCTTTTCTCTTCTCACCGCAGGAGTAGACGTGTCCTTCCTGGTGTTGAGATCAGTACTTTCTCCTAGGCCAGGACTGGCTATATAATTTGTGAAATTGAGTGAAAATTCATATGAAGAGTTCCCTGTTCAAAAATTACTAAGATTTTAAGATAGTGACAGCAGGACATTAAACCAAGGATGGGGCACAGCTGAATGGGTGGCCCTGTGTGACCCTACAGACACCAGTGGGTCAGGCTAATGTGGGCCAATGGAGCCCCCTTCTCCTCCACTCCCCTCTTCTCTGTAATTAATGAGCCCACTTAATCTGCTGAGACCCAGGGGAGCAGGTACAGGAGTGGTCTTCTTCTCAGCAGTCTCTGCTGTCTTCTGTCCTCTTGTTAAGTCACTCTTTCTGTTTCACTCTATAGCATTCCTGTGGGCTTTTAAATATTTTTCAAAGTCTCCACGTGAGAACTAACCCCGTTTCCCTACATCTTGCTGGCTCCTGCATGCATTGTGATCTGTAGACGTTCTTACCAGGGTGCCCGGCACTGCCATGGCTTTAAGTCACCTTCCTTGACCTCTCAGCAACTCTTGCCGTGGTTGCCCACCTGTCTGTCTGCATTTGGGAGGCATTCAAGGGTCTGAACTAACTTGAACCTTGCTTTCCCAGACACGTCTCTCCCAGGTTTCCTCTCACTTTTGGCTGCTCCCATTGGTTTTTTTTTTTTTTTTAAAGATTTATTTATTTGTGCATACAGAACTGGGGTACAGGCCAGAGGCTCAGTGGTGGCGAGAGGCTTCACCAGAGACAGAGTGGGGAGCAGAACAGGCAGATCGACGAAGTACACTGCTGAGGGGAGCAGTGGGCGGGTCAGGAGAGGTCTGCCACGCCAGGTGGTCACCTCTGGGGCAGGTGGGGATCGAACTCATGCAGAAGTGGCTTTAGATTCTCAGTGCTGTGCTTTAACCCGCTGCACCACCAGGGAGGGCCCCCATTGGTTTTATTTGATTAGTATTCTGTAGTTTTGACTTATTCTACTTTAACTCTATTTGGAAAAACCTTTAGAATTTTGTTCTAAACATTTTTCAAGAAGTGGTAACATAATAATATATAAATAACATCTTTAGGATCCTTAACCTTCCTTCTTTAAAAGGAAGGAATACTTCCTTCTTTAAAAGTAGCCAATACTTCCTTCTTTAAAACATAAATAGATAGGCATTTAACTTCTACCTAGCCTTGCTAATACTACTATTTGAAAAGTCTTTTAGTTATTTCTGAATCTTTTAGAAACTTTTGGTTCAAATACATGAATTGTCCTATGTTTAATTTCAGTTATTTAAGCTAGTCAGCTGACCCTAGAGGACTCAGACCCCTAGAACAGTGCACAGATCTTGTCTTCCAGTAGGTGGCGACAAGTAGGCATGGAAGGACCCTCGTTTCAGTGGGTGCTGGCCTTTGCCTGTGGCCCATAGCTGCCTTTTCTCCCCAGCAAGAAGGGTTTTTTTCTTCGGTCAAATAGCTAATGTATTTGCTTTTTGTTGGTAGGAACACTGCAACCAGATCCTTTTTATAGATAGATAAACATTCATTTCTATAATCAAAATATAAATTCTAAGCATTTTCTTTGCAATTATAATCTAATAGTGAAAATGGTTCACAGTATAGAGAGGTTCTTTTAGCAAATTTTAAAATATAAATTCTTTCTACCATCTGAACAAATGAACAGTGTTTGTGATTGTGTGCTGTGTGTACCTGTCTGTATATATAGACAGTAAGTATCTTTTGAATATGCAGCATTGTTCTGGGCACTATGAGGAAGAGGGGCCGTCGCCCATTCCCTGCCTTCCTGGGTAGATTTAGGGCGATATAAACCTGGAAGGTTCGTGACTGTTTAGTGACAAAGAACAGTATATGGTCCTTAGATGACGTCAGAAGACCGTCACTTTATGGCCTCCTTAAAACCCTTCAGTGCCTTCGAGCTCATTTCTGTTAGAATCCGAGTTCCCTCCTGCCAGTTACCACTGCTGAATGCTCAGGCTTCTCTGGCTCTCCCCAGCTTGCTCAGCAGCCATCTGCCCCTCACGCTTCACTACTCGCACTTTCTCTCCACCGAGACCAGGCTGAGCTCTTTCCTGTCTCTGGGCTTTGACCCCAGTGTCAGTGTCTTCTCCGCGAGATCATCTCCTCTGAGCCCCTCTGTCCTTGGTAAGCCCCTGCCGGACACTCTGTCGTGTTTTTGACGATTATTTCACAGCACTCAGCAGCCTCACACTTACTTAACATATTATTTGCTTGTTTCCTTGTTCCTCACCCACCCACACCACCTTTAGGCTCAAGTTCATTGAGTTTTCTCACTGTGGTGCCCTAGGAGCTGAGCCCAGGTGTGTATTGTGCTTTGGAATAATGTTTCTGTGAATGGCCATGTGTGTTCTGAGTGCCGAGAAGGCCAGTGAGACTACTGTGGCTGCTGAGCTGGACAGGCCTTCCTGAGGACTGTGGGTGTTAGCTGACCTGCGAGGATGTAGAGAGAAGGCAACATTTGCAGTTGTTTCCAAACTTGTAATTAAAATAGAGGTAATTTTTTAAAGATTTATTTGTTTATGCTTACAGAACTGGGGTACAAGCCAGAGGTGTGGTGGTGAGAGGATTCAGCAGAGACAGAGTGGGGAGCAGAATAGGCAGATGCACTGAAGTACACTGCTAAGGCGAGCAGAGAGTGGGTGGGTCAGGAGAGGTCTGCCGTACCATGTGGGTCAGCTCCCTGGCTGGGGATCAAACTCGTGCTGCAGTGGCTTCTGAGAGCTTCATAATGCGGTGCTTTAGCCCGTTGCACCAGGTAATTTTTATTTTAAGAGTCCTAGTTCTCTGTTGGTGGGTGATAGAAGCCTCTGCTGGCAAAGGCTAGACTGGTAAAGGAACTAGCAGTTTGCCTGCCTGAAGTAGCTCTCTGCTTTGGGAACTAGCCCCGGTGGCCTCTGCAGGTTTCCTTATTGCTGCCTCGGCAGCATGCCCAGTGTGTCTCTAAGCAGCTGTGTGGGCCCCAGGGCGTGAGAAGGGAGAAGGTGGAAGAAGAGCATTATGTCTTGCTCTGAAGGACATTACTGCCAAAGGGAGTAGGCTGTGGAAACAGAAGCAGAGCCTCCAGGCAGAAGCTGTTTCTTCTGTTGCATTTTTTTGTGGAAGAACATGATTCTGGTAGGAAGGAACACCGTAATTATTGTGTAGAGAAGATTGTTAGAGTGTGAGTTCTTTTGTGGGTGGCTAACTACTGGGAGATTTCAGCACTCTAGTTAGCCATTCTTGGTGATAGAAACTTATTCTTGCTCTTGTTTTAATCTTAACTGCTTTTCCCTTTGTGGGGCTTGAGTGCCTGGGTCTCACATGGAGAAGTGTGGGAGAACACATGGGTTTTTTTCTGGTCAGGGGTATTTTGTAATTGAGGGGCTTTT